AATGAGAGGTAGAAAGACGCCTTCAGAGACGGGCAGCTCAGTCGCTGGTTAATGCTCCTGAGTGCAATTTACTGCTCAGCCTCTCTGAAAAAAAAAAAAAGTGTACTTCAAGCATACACTCTAGTAGTCACACTTCCAAAGGCCCAATGCCCAGAGCTGTATAAACACACACACACACACACACACACACACACACACACACACACACACACACACACACAACAAGGCTATGGGGGTGCAGGGCTTGGTTGTTAAAACTTCAGCATTGAAGAAAAAAGGTCCCCATGGGTAGAGTGACATAATTGACTTCCCAAAGAAAGAAAACAGCGAGTCTAAACACTCCCAATAAGTAAACTAGGCAAACTTCACAGCCGCTCTCTCTGCCACTACTTAGATCAGCCGTACCAGACAGCCTGGAGAAAAGATGGCAGCTCTGCCAGCTAAGAAAAAGGCATCTGCTCCCATTTCTTTGTGTGTGTGTGTGTGTGTGTGTGTGTGTGTGTGTGTGTGTGTGTGTGTGTGTGTGTGTGTGTGTGTGTGTGTGTGTGTGTGTGTCCGCCTGTCCAACCACCCCCTCTCCCAGTGACGAGGTACCACTTCCTGGCCCAAGCCCACTCGACTGGCCGCCTTCCCATCTTTCTGCTGTGAGAGGCCTGCTTTCTGCTCTGCCAACTAACGTCTAAAAAGGGGGACAAGAAATAGTTGTGGGGAAAGAGAGAGTTTGTATGTGTGTTTCTCAACTGCTATCCTTTGTGGGGCTGAGTTTGAGGGTTCAACATGGAGAGCAAGGCCATTTTGGTTTTGGACATCTATTTTTATGACTCAATGTCTGTTATCATGATAGTAAGTAGAGTAAATAAAAGGCGCTGAGTGATGAGGGCACTGAAATGAGAGGGCAGATATTATGTGGGCTTTTGGTTACGATTAAACATTTAAAGAAACATGTATGACGGAGCGATTCGAGGGAAATTGCAATATTTCAGACTAATTTTAAGTTGCGTAACCTAACGTACCCCGTGGATCGCTCTCATAAAAAAGTTATAATAATGTTCAGTGTTTCTTCCTAAAAAATATGGTGTATGAATTTCCTTCCTCATGAAACATTTACAAAGCCCTTTTTGAAATATTTAACTCCTACATTGTCTACATCCACGTTTGCTAGCAACCAGCCTTCTTCCTTACCTTTGCAGGTTCATTATGAATGTGTTATAGTCATGAAGCTAATTAGTTCCTAACTGCTTAGATCATTTATCCAGAGAAAGACTCGACACTGTTAAAAAGTCCAGTGTGTAACATTTTGAAAAATCTATTGGCAGAAATTAAATATAATATTCACAAGTATGTTTTCATTAGTGTATAATGACATGAATCATTTTGTTTTTGTTACCTTAGAATCAATCTACCATGGGGTCTACCATGTTTATAAGGTAGCCCAGAAGGGACAAACTAAACACTTGCTATAGATAGAGGCATTTTTCGCATGTTACAAGGTCACTGTAGTTCCTCCTTCATGCTTGGAAGGGGTGGGTGAAGCGACGGAGTTGCAATCTGTAATTACACATCGCTAGATGCCACAAAATCCGACACACTGGACCTTTAAAAGTCAGTCTATGTTTACGTTTTTTTCCTTATCACAGTTTTGCAGCAGCAGAGTAAAACCACCACCAAATGTCTCTTCTTGCTTAGTTATCCCAGTCATATCACCAATGATTGGTTAATGTTCTTGCTATTGTATTGTTCTTGTGATATTTGATTTGCCAGCAATGGAAAATTCAATAATAGGAAATCTAATTAGAGTGAGTTGACTCACAGTTGACTAGAAACACCTCATGCAGATTACCACTAAAGAAAGTAATGGGTGCCGAACTTCACATGTACCACGTGGTGACATTTCAAGAACCTCTGCAGCCTATATACACAGAGGTGTGTGCAAGTAAACATATATGAGGATTGTTACATGTGCGCTCAGATCTTTACAGTCTGGGAGAGTGAGGGATGTGGGCTGCAATGTGTCAATGTGTAAGTACGGGTCTTATATTCTCATGTTATATTTGGATGGGTGTGTGAGTAAGGGTCCTGCTGTATATCTGAGTTTTGTGTGTGAGTAACTCAGTGAGCGAGCTGCGGCTCGTTTTAGCCCACTCCCCTCTGCTGGAGTCTACGTCAGTCGAAATCTATCTATGGCGGCTCGCTCATCCTCTGCCACCCCCATATACAGCCGGGCTCAAGACACACACTCACACACACACACCACTTCCTTCGGTTTGGATGCTGCTTTACTATAAAAGTATGAGTACGAGGAGAGGCACTAAAATAAGCAGATGACTGGCGGCATCTTCCTCAAACAGCAGGACCATCTGGTGCTGGAGATAAACATTTAACCTGAAAACTTCTGCTCTCAGTGAAGTGATTCCTGTCAAAGTTAGTGCAGATTAAACTGTCTGAAATAACTTTTAAATTAACTCAACCGCAGTAAAGCACTTCAGCTCGTTGCCGGTCAGCGAGTAAGCCAACCACCGATTTCAAGTGTTACGATGTTACTGTTCGGTGTCAGATTTTATGTCAAGCTTACTGACTCCCAATTCACTCTTAGTGTGAGTGAATCACAAAGAATTGTGGGATACATAGCAACCGTTGCCAGTAGCCTCTTTCACTGAATGATGCTGACAGCTTCCAGCCCTCATTCAGTGGCTAGCTGCTCCTTCAGTGGTATTTATAGCCGCTATTGATCGAGACAGATTTGGCTGAGAAGGAAAAGCAGCACTTGAGATTTAGCAGCGGACTATAGAATAGGCTTTGTGTGTCTGAGCGTGTGTGTGCGTTTGGTTGTATGAAAAAGCGCATTGTATGTCACAGTCATCAGTAGGGAGAGTGAGGCATCATGAGGCGATCCCTTGTTCCTTATACACTCCTTCTATACCCCTCTTGCCATTTAAAGTCCAATAAATTGTATTGTATATTAAAAAGCCCTGTGAGTGGCTGCATTGTCCTCACAAAACTACAAACCCATCAGCTTTAGTGGCCCCTACACACTTAACTTGACTCACTTAATCAATCCTTGCTGGTGGCTTGACTTCCTGTACTGTAGGAGGCTACTATCTGAACACAGACTTGCTGGGGCTTTCTGTTTAGACTGCTGAAGGATGACTAATCCCCTATTTAAAGGGCTCAGGGCTCGACTGAAGACTTCTGGCATACAGGCAATCAATTGTAGATGTAGAGGTGACGCAATTCACTTTCAGCGGAACTGTAGGTGGTCAATAATTAGGATAAAAGTGTGTGTATGTGTGACTCAGAGAAGGAAATGCAACGCAATGTGTCTCAAAGGGGAAAAGTTCCCAATGTTGTTCCAATATTTCGTACTCCATTACTTTTAATCATGAGCGATTCTAATGTAATACACACCAATATTTCCTCACTGTCCGCAAGCTTTTAGCTCTGTGTGTGCGCTGTCATACACAGCCCTGGCTCCGTAAAGAGGAAACAAAGTGGATTGGACCGAACCACACAACACTAAGTTATTACAGCAGGATCTGTGTGTCAGGGAACGTTAAATTACTCGCCCTCGGACATTCAGCTGATGTTAGCAGGAGAGTTGTGAGTATCACTGGAGCTGGTGTGCTGGCTCTGGGAAACAGTCTCATCCTCTCTGCATGTTTAGTGACAGCTTGCAAACCCAAAACATAGCTAACGTAAGTAACATTATTTGTTGTGTCGTTGTTCCAGTATATCATGATTCCTATCATAGGTTAGTTATCGGATTTCTCCACAATCGCATACCCACCTTTAACAGTGATAGCTGCACACATATAGATCCTTTTCCTGTCTGGGTAAGAGGTATGAGGCACAGCTCAGCACAATCAGCAACAACAAAAGCTTCAAACATGAAGGTCCACGAGCCCATAACAGCTTTTGCTCAAAGTTGAATTGTTTCACTTTTTGTTTGATATTTGTGGATACGTACGGCGAATCCACAGAGAGCAGACAAAAGTAGCTTGCCATCTTTTACTACAGACATTGTGTCAAACGCAGGTGCAGATAATAACGCTAATAACGACTGTATTCATCCCCATTGTTAATGTTATCAGTGACACCTGTGTGTTCAAAAGGCCTGACGAGAGAGAGGTCTATTCACATAGGTTGGATAGCGATGCAATTACATCGGCATTATGTAAAACGTGTTCTGTCCCACAGCTCGACACAGCCATTATACGTCTGCAGGGGGTTGATAGGTTAATGGTCAGTAACAATGATACAATCATTACAATGTCAAGTGATTCAAAGTCTGACTTTCTCTAAAAAATGTTTTCCAGCTAAAAAGTAAAAGCTGAATTATTACTGGACATGAAATATTCTTCCTCTTCACTAGATGTCTGGGCTAGATTTTCTGTCCTCAAAATAGACACTTTTCTCACAGTGACATTTAAAATGACTAATCAACATACGATTAGAGCAAATCGCAAAATATGCCAGATAACTGTCAATATTATAATTTCTTGGTTGCATCCATTTTTTTGTGCAAGACTTGTGGAAGCTTTTTTTTCCCCATTACTGACTGATCTGCTGATTACTTTCTTGATAAATCAATTAACCGCTTGGTCTACAAAATATTAGGAAATGGATCCAAAGGTGACATCTTCCAATGAATTTTCTGAACATCAGCCCAAAGCTCAAAGATATTTAATTCACTTTAAATATGAGAAAGAAAGACAACAGAACATCCTCACATTTGGGATGCGGGAAACAGTGAATTTGGGTGATTTTTGGCTCGAGAGAAGATTATAATAATAGTTCCTAATTATTTTTCCATCAATCGACCAAACGTTTCACTGCCCCCTAAAATCAAATGTTGAGATCTTCTTTGTTACACCTCTAATCTGTGCTGATGGTTGATAGGTTGGGTCAGTCTTTCCTTTAAGCATATATGCAAGTGCAGCTTTAATCTTCCACACTGCAAGCTGCAATGATAATATTAATGTACAGACCCAGCTGTTTCTCACCTGGCAAGTGCCTGGACCTTGGCTGTGTGTCTCTCCTCCAGCTCTGCCAGCTTTCTCTTTAGCAGATCAGTTTCCTGCCTCAGGCCTGCTGAGTGCTCCATCTCCCCATCCAGCAGACTGCGAAGAGACCTGTCAAACATGAAGCAGACCACAAATGTGTCACATATTTGTATACAAAACACAGTTTTCTGTCCCAATTACAGTCAGGTGATACATCTTGTACAAATCTAATCCTTGACATTCTGGTAATGTTATTTTCATAAACAGTAGATTGGATAAACATTAAGCTCCTTTAATTGCAGTAATAACTGAGTGAATCACATTTGGCTCTGATTTAAAACACTTAATCAACACACATCTGTGATTGCATAGCTGTTTTAATTCCCCGAGCACGAATCACAGTTTATGGTAAAAATCAAAATACGGCTTGGCAGGAGATTTGCATTTATTTATGATTAATCACAAAGGTGTATAAAGATAATATTGTGTTTTTTTGGTCATTACATTTCTGTGCTTTGCAGCTTGTTCAAAGATCCCTTTTGCAGCTGTTACATGTGTAAATCGCAGTCTCTGGTGGCTTATTGCTAAAAACAAAACACAACAAAACCGTTTCCTGCCAGCAGTGGTCAGCACAAAAACAGCCTTCTCATCCCAGGACAAAAAGAAAACAAGTTGACACAATTTACACAGAAAGGTCATTCGATATCTTCCTACAGTCTGAGGGTGAGTACGTGTGTGTGAGTGTGTGTGTGTGTGTGGTTTCAGGGGTTTGCGAGCAGCAGATAAGGGGAATACATCCCAACGTACGAGTTTTGTTCCTCCAGCTCGTCCTTCCTGTTCATCATGGCGACAATGGCCTGACGCAGCTCCACTGCAGAGGAGAGAGACCAGAGTGAGATTTCTGCATGCACTGGAACACACACACACACACACACACACACACACACACACACACACACACACACACACACACACACACACACACACACACACACACACACACACACACACACACACACACACACACACACAGCAATATGCATAAACTAATAACGCAAGCTTTGAAATGCAGAAATAACAGAATCCCACTTTGATGCCACACTTGCAGGATTAATGCCGCGCTTTTGTTTCATCCTCAAGATGAACTGCTTTGATAAAATCAGGTTTTACTTTTTTTTCTGCTGACAGAAGTTATACAGAGTGATATCTATCTGACTCACAGAGAACAGTTTTATTGCTACAGTAAAACATGCTTTTTGGGAAGCTACAATAAAACTCCGGAGAAAGAAACGAATCCAAGATAAATGTAGGGGAGGAAAACACTGGCTAAGTTTTGTATTAAACTATTCATCAAGAAAATGTGAAACCCAACTGGAATTTGAAATCACAGCCAAGACAGCCGAGTACACACCTACCGAATGTGCAACAACACAATTATAGGTTAATTATAGTCAGCTGAAAAAGTTTCATTTGCTGTGGTAATACTATCTTTACATCCCCTTTTTACAACCGTCAGCAGGACAAGAAAACCATCCTCTTCTGGCCATTTTACCACATGGAACCCACTACAGTAGCTGAAGCTCTCTAATGAATTCACTGATCAATTCAGCTGATGTTTGCCTGGGCTTTCACTATCTGATATAAAGTAGTAAGTTCCCTCCTGGCAACAGCTAATAGCAAATAACATATTTTTAAAAATATATCTCAAAAATGATTTCCGTAGAAATGGTTTCTCCATTTCTCCAAAGCTTTTATGATTACTGAGCTCTTGTAAACTGGTGGAAGTAAGCTGAAGCCATAAATCAGCTGTTTTGAAAATACTTTAAATTCTGTAAATAATAAATAAATAACTGTCTCAAAAGATAGCTTGTACAGTCATCTAGTGACTGAATTATGTTTCTTGAAAATGTGCAGCATTCCTATCTGCATGGGCAGGGTGATGATTTTAAATGTTTGCTTTTCCACCCTGAGAAGAATGAAATGCCCACACAGTGTATTAAGAGAAGATCATTAGCAGTTTAATGACGGCGCTGGAAGAAAGGTTAAACATTACCAAAGTACCAATCTATGCTGAGGGAATAACACAGCACTATTCCTAATGGAGACCTTTCACTCATGGTGGCAACAGAGGTCAATTCAAGGGGTCACCAAAGTCAACAGGCTTGGTCGAGATGAACTGCACCTCGCCGAGGTCAGGCAGCGGCAACAGGAGGCAGTGACAGAAAAAGCTGCAGTCAGGTTTGACCGCTTCCAGCAGCCTTTAAAGAATATACAGAAAGAACTATTTATATCCTATTAGATTCATCTCTAGGCTACCTGTGGTTTGCGGAGCGCCAGGCATTATTGTTTTGTGTGTGCATGCCTTGAGAGCAACAACTCGAACCAGCACCTTCTGTCGGTCCTGGCTCATCTCAAACACGCCTGTTCTGATACATCATTTAGGAACCATGTCTGTACACAACATTGTGCCAACACATTAATAACATGAACGGTGGTATCTATGCATCTACTGAGGGGGTAAGCTGACTGGACTGTGGGGGTACGTCTGACAACCGATGCTGGTGATTTGAGCGTGTTGCTGTGGATTTGAGGACACTGCAATGAAAACTTTCACTAATATCATGCACTAAATAATCAATTAATATAAATAATAACTGCCAGGTTAATCAGCAATGATTATAATAATTAGCTGCAGCACTACGTGTAATGTTTTGCTCTGGAACCTGGTCAAATCAAAACATCAGATCCCAGATCTGTACCAGCTACAATCAAAGTCTGCGCGGTGGTACAGGGACTCCGTAGCTTCGCTTGGAGGTGCACATGAAGGTTTCAAAGCCCCTAACTAGGCTGTTACCAGGATTTCCAAAAATAAAAACCATGAGACAAGGAGTTAATCTACCCTGCACTTGGCATTCCACCATTTACACACACACACACACACACACACACACACACACACACACACACACACACACACACACACACACACACACACACACACACACACACACACACACACACACACACACACACACACACACACACACAAGAGAGAGAGAGAGACCACAACTCTACTCTCATAACTAATGTAGGGTGTCGATGTAGCCCCAGACACAAGTAGGTCTCCTCCAGCCTCGAGCTAAGAGCGTGGCTGGGGGAGGAGTAGGAGAAAGAGGAGGAGGACGAGGGTGATGAAGAGCACAACAGAGAGCAGAGGAGAAAAGAGGAAGTCTATTATCTCCACGGCTCCATTCTCCACATCAGCAGCCCAGAAATAAATATGACCTTTAGTCCGACCACGCGTTCACAGCGGGTGCCACAGACGAGCCATTAGAGACTTCAGTAGAGCCAGACGCCCTTCTGTCCTCACAGAGGGGACATGGGCAAATTACAGCACAAGTGTGTGTGTGTGTGTGTGTGTGTGTGTGTGTGTGTGTGTGTGTGTGTGTGTGTGTGTGTAAATACATACGCATGCAATTTTGCGCTTATATGTGTAAGAGCAACCTTCACTGTGTGTGACCATGTGCACGTGTGTGTGTGTGTGTGTGTGTGTGTGTGTGTGTGTGTGTGTGTGTGTGTGTGCGCCTCCACCGGAACCTACATGCTCCTGCTCAATTGTTCCAATAATAGATGCATTAGCAGAGAGCTAGGCCATATAATCGAGGTGCCTTGTGAATTATAGACTCCATACTCTTCAATCAATGGACTGCTTGGCCTCACACACCGTCAGATCTAGATGGAAATCACTGAGGGCTCTCTCTCTCTCTCCAACAGCATTTTTTTTTCTCTCAGTTTCTCCCACACACCTTAAAAATCCAGTAGGTTTTGTATCTGTGTGTGTGTATATGTGCTTGTGTGTGTGCGCGTGTGTGTTACACAAAGCCTTAATCACGAAAACGACAAACACTGTCATTAGCTGTTTTTACTATTCTTTAGCACTAAACATACACACAGGGAAATTATACATTGCAAATTTTCCTATTCATAGAAGGTCTTGTTACTCTCTTGTGTCAGCATATGAGCCAATCAATGGCTCATTTTGATCCCTGACTTAATCAAGATTCTCAAGCATTCTCCTTGCATACATTTTTCAATCACAAGAGACAGACTTAAAAAAAGGGAATGGTCAAAATTCAACCTCTGACCAACCAAAACGGGTCAATCTTTGAAAAACACTGGATCCTACATTTCTCATAATGTATCTTAATAACAATTTTCATCAGACCCTCGAGTGCCTCCTAAATACCGACTTCTGTCAAAGCCTTCACATTTCTTTTATGTTAACTTTTCACGCCCAAGCCTCCATACAGCTGTTTTCATGAGCAGGGAACTACTCTTCCTGACAAGTTCACTAAACTTCATATATTAAATTGCTGGAATTCCCCTTTAAATGTGTCTTTACGAGGATACAACTGGTGACCATTTGTTAGAAATAAGTTGCAGTCAAAATCTGAAATGAGATATTCTAATAAAATCAGTATATCATCAAGTGCTTTCAAAGAATTTCTCTCACACTGAGCTTTCTTCTTCCTCAGTGGTTTCCTATGTTTCCCAAAACAACTTTGCACAACCCTTTGAGAAAGGCGTCTCTGCATGTTGCTTTGGGTTACGCGAGTAGGCGTGGAGAGCAAAAGCAGCAGTCAGCCAGTGATAGCGAGAGCACAGGAGCACGAGAGCAAGAGTTTTCCAGTCTGGAAAAAGTCACGGCCTTTCACTCAAAATGCAAAATCTGTTTTGGCTGCATTGAATTCTGGTCTATTGAGCCGACAGTAGGCGTATAAATTGGTATCTGTGCCTCCGTCGCAATGGATGTCTCCCTGTCAGACAGTTGGATGTCTGGAGAGAATCTCTTCACTTTTTGAAGACGCCAAAACCTGATTTTACAGCGATGTTACAGAGTTTCAGAGTGGATTTGACTTTAAACCAAAAACCCTTCTCGTTGACTGAGGGTCTGTTGTTTTACATCTTTCTAAGGCCTCTTGGTGCTCTGGACCTTGAAGACAATTTTCTCTGCCTCTACACCAGCGATTTTTTAGATCACCAGCTCTCACTGTGACCCCATTGGCCTCCTCTTACCGAGGGCTAATAGATTGGACAACGGCTCAGTCCAAGCGCTTACAGGGAGCTCCACTCACCTTTCCTCCCCTGGCTCTCTGTCTCTCTCTGTCTCTCTCTCTCTGTCTCTCTCTCTCTGTCTCTCTCTCCATCCCACACACACACACACACACACTCAAAAGAATCCACGGAATCAAATAGCATCAGTGTGAGTGTCTCAGTCTGATTAGCTCCAGGGCAGAGAGGAGAACACCAACTTGTGAGTGGGTCTCACACACACATTAAAGTGCTCATCAAGTGCTCTGGGAATGTAGAATTTTTATCCACATCTGAAATCATATAGCTGATGTAAATGGCAGGCATTCACACAATCTGACTTCATGTCACATCCATTTTTTCTCACAAACAAAATCCTTTGAGGCGAGCAGACGAATGTGTGTATGTATACAGTAGCATGTGCATTCACTGGAGCAACAGTGCCACCAGGTGGAAAAGACCCGGGCAATCTCTTGGCACAGGACTTCACTCATTGCAATTAGATCACTTTAACTGCAAAGAAAAACAACTAGGTTTGAAAATACAAATGAGTGAGTTTGATTTCATTTAACAGCTTTGCAGAAATTTCTAGACAAAGACATGTCAAGACTTCTACGAGATTAATTACCGTCTCAAAACTTCTTGGAAATATACTCTGGGATTTTGCTGTGATTTGGAATTTAAATCATTTTCATGTTTAATTTAATGTATCCTCAACACTACAAAGAAATTAAGAGATTTCACCAACTCGTGCTGTTTCTGTGTCTAGCACCTTTAACTTGGATTTCTTAAGCCTCGGACAGAACTACATGACATGAACCTAATCCCCCCCAGGACCCAATGAGCTAATTTCACTAGCTCAGAAAATGTTATGTTGTTTCTAGTAAAAAGATTTTGGAGCACATGACTGTTGACTGTCCACTTCCTCTTGAGGTTTTATCAGAAGACAATCTAATCTCCGAAGACATTAGCAATGGTAATTCATTCTTTACAGTAAATTCTTACAGTATTTATTCCTGACATGTCTTTGTTTGCACCTTGTTGGTGAGCATGTTGAAACCTTCATCTAATTACTATCAGTCAACTCAAGTCCTGTGCAAAGACACTGTTCAACTGCCTCGATGCTAGCTCAGTTAATCCACGATGATTCATAACACAGAACCGGTTTGAGCACAAACCGAGTTACAAGGACAGGAGAGAGTGAGGAAGAGTAAAGAAGCAGAAAGGTAGTACCAGGAGAAACACTCACCCACTGTCATGGACTCTGGCAGACCAGATGTTGGCAGCACACTGGAGAGTGGAGCAGACTGTGCTGGTGGACTGGACTCCATGCTGAAACACGTGAAGAGAGGAATCAGGTACTTTAAATCTCTTTGAGCTTTTGTCCACAATTCATATGTGAAAAGGAAAGCTGAGGCTGCAGCACAGAAACACACTGAATAGCCTTGCCTGTGTAGTCCTGTGACTAAAACTAAATTGTAAATAATTCACACAACAACACATCATTACCACATGAAACGATGGCTTACTTGAACGTTAGCAGCGATGTGTCGCTCTCACAGTTTCCCACCGGTCCTGTCGACTCAGACTGAGCAGGAAATGCAGCTGTATCTTCCACAGAGTTCACTGAGGCAAAGTGGAAGTGAAAGTAAAAGGTACAGACTAATAGAGAAAGTACCGAAATTTCATCTGATAGACAACTGATCCCTGCGCTCAAGCCCTAAGCAGCTGTTGTCAGCAGTAAACACAATCTGTATGCAAAAACATATGTAAGGTACAATATTTACAGTGCGAGTAGGAAATGTAAACTGGGAATCAGTGCAGCAGTGTCGGCTGAGGGCAGTCAATAAATATTACACTGATCTGGCACAGAGTGCACCAGGAAGTGTTTTTATATGTTTCTATCTTCCTTGTTGCTGCTGGATTGTAACAAAGTCTGTGTTTTTTTGTTTCAGTGGCTTTAGGGACTACAGTACCTGGCTGAGGGTCTGTAGGGTTCAGAGGAATGAGGATGTCTGAGCTGCTGTGGTCGGTCATCACCTTCAGAGGGCTCCATGTGGACACACTGGGCAGGCTGCCTACCACCACTCTGAAACAAGACAATTTTTATCTCAGTTGGGTTTTTTTTCCCAGAGCAATAAGTATCTTTTTAGCCCTGTTGTGTCCAACAGGTCAGTTGTGGACATTTGGGTTTAAAAACTTCAACACATTTTACAGTCTGTTACAGGGAATTCAAGACAACTGTGCCTCCACTAATGCTTTTTGGGAAGTAACAACAAGAAGTGTAATGTTACCATGGATTCAGTGACTGTATTTGTTTACACTTTGGGAAATTGTATAATGTTAGTTGATTGATTTTCTCCTTCTAAAGGCTGCAGCAACTCAACCAAACAAAGTGAGTGAAACACAAATATGATTTTTTTTTTTCTTGGGGCTTTTATTGCCTTTATGATATAGACAGCTGGTCGGATTCGAACCTTGGGCCGCTGCAGCAAAGACTCAGCCTCGGTACATGGGTCGCCAGTTCTACCCACTGAGCTAACCAGGCACCCCCATTAGCACTTCTTAATTAAGACTGTAATGTTTTATGCACTTAATGAACAACCTCCAAGGGTACTGTGCTCCAAGCCCACATTCATTTCTGTCAGAATAATTTTTTAAATATGAAATATTTCTCTATTAAATACGTTTTAGAACTCGACATTCAACTGAAGTGATCTGACTCACTGATCGGAGCTGATCCTCTCCTCCTCCTGGGTTTCTGCTCTGGGTTTGTACATCTCCTCCTCTTCCTCCTCCTCCTCATTGTCTATACTCTTACTGTCAGGCAGGGGAGGTGTAGTGGCAGGTGGAGTACGAGAGGAATGGGGGGACCCCACCCAGCTAATTATGCCTGGCTCAGCCAGGCCATTCTGGGCCGGCGACTCAGGGAAGACCGGCTCCAAAGGATCTATGCCTTCCTCCACGCTGTTCTGAGCAGGGGCAGTGTGGCTCTTCCTCATGGCACCCATCTTCTGGGAGTCCTCTTCTCCCTCCTCCTCGTCCTCCGCCCCTCCATCCAGATCGTCATCAAAGGAAATGATGTTGGTGATTTTCTTTTTCCTCCGGCGCTCTTTCCTCAGCCCTGAGTCTTTGTGGAAGAGATGAAAAAGAAGTGAACAAAAACCTCAATCTCAAGCTTAAATAAAGTGAAACTTTAATGAATTCAGTTCTTTTCACCTGTCTAGACTATCCTCCTCCAAATGTTCACACGGCAAAGTTTGGTACTGATGACATAGGCATCTTAAGTTTATTTCAATTAATCCTTTAAAAGTGCATTTATAATAGACAATCTGTGGCTCAACTCTTCTACCTGTGAATAATGCGAATGGCTCTCCTAACCTTGAGGAGGTGGCACACGAGCTTAGAATTTCATTTACATTCATTCCAGTTAAAATGTAAAAGCTTGTTCATCCCTCTGAGCAGAACATAGGGAGAGAAAATGGTGTGAGTTTTCCCTGCTGGGATGAATCGGGGCAGAGAGCTAAATGAGGTCAAACAAGGCTGACATCCTGGAAGTTTATTTATTTCATGGGGGATTTCATCTCCGCTGCAGATGCCTTGGGTTGCGTCCACTATATTTGTTCTACCAGTGCATTCATTATGCATGCTCAAACTGAGCCATATGTTATTGTGTTTGTCAAGGGGTGGACAAAATAATAGTGATATAGTCCGAAAGTAAATACTAATATGCAAAGTTAGTTTTGAAGAAATGTTTAACTTTCATTGCTTGTGCAACTGCAAAATTATGTAATGTAATTATGTAAGAAAACTGTATTTGCAAAAAAAAAAGACATTGCTCACAAGAAACAACAGTCTCAACAAACACAAACAACAACCATTTTTGTATTTCTCCTATGGCTACTGTATTGAATTGTGAATTATTTTGTACACCCCCATCCGTCATACTCCTCCACACTCTCTTACCAGCAGAGGTGCTGCGTGGCAGGACAGGTAGCGGGTCCGAGGCTCCGTCCACTTTGGGGGTGAAGCCGGGCACCACAGCCGTGGCGGTGCTGATCTCTCGTAACAGGCTGCTGACCCCCTGAGTCGACTCTTTCCACAGACTGCCGATGCCCTGTGTGGACTCCTTGAGGAGGTCGGACACCGAGGGGCCTCCTCCTCGGGTCACCCCACCATTCAGGTCACTGTTGTCGATGTTGATGGCAAACAGGATGGAGTTCAGACCTGAAGAACGCAGCAGAAAGAGAGAGGCAAAACGTAATTTATTACAGATGAGTCTCATCAAATCATATGAAGTTTCTGAACTTCTGCGAACTGCTCTGTCAGCTATTCTGGGTACACAGTGAGCAACCCAGGATGAACTCAGGATATGTGCCTGTGTATGAAAAGAGAGGGAAAGCTCTGGCATGAGATCAGTAGTATATATTCTTAATATTTTAGAGTTTGTGCTCATCTGAGTTGCACTCATCAATAGTTCAACAGTAAGAGCGCAGCCATTAACACTAATTCCCATCAAATCCAGACACACTAAACAAGTAAAGTGCAAAGTCAGTTAAATAACTGCTTTTACAGCAGCTCCGTTTGTGTGAAGCATGTTTAAATTTCAATGAGACTGAAAATGAGGCTGTAATTCTCTTTACAAGACAGAAGATACATTTTTTGGATAGATGGATGGTTCTTAAGTCATTACCACTAGTGCGGCAAAAATACTGCTCGGCCTTGTTGGACATTTCAGGCTGTCAGGCTCAGCTGTATTTTATCAGACTTCCTGCTTAGCATATTAACATACCAAATGTTCACATATTATCTAATGTAACTATGACACCCTGCTATGTTAATGCTAATGTTACATTATATGTACAGTAGCATGTTAACATGTATACCTATTGTCAGTTTGAGCTGTATTTTATTGCATAACATGCTGAACATTGGAAAAAATACTAACTGCATGCAGAGCATCAGAACACTAACATTATCATTTTGGCTTCCTATGTCAGCATAACGTGCAACATTAACACAGTACAGTTCCCTTAGAGTGGCATTTCAGACTACAGCAATGTTTACCATAATGCTATTGTCTACAATTAAGCACTAGCATGCCTAAACAGTTGACAAAGCCACATCTCTACTACACCTACATATCTGGTGTGCAGTATGTTTACCCTGCAATCACCTAACTCACCTGCAGCCATGGTGGGGAGCATACTTGCTCTCTCTTCGTCAAGAATAAAAGCCCAGTCTTCATAGTAAGTTCTAGAGAACAGAGAGGAGGTGAAGTAACATCTCTAATCAAGACAACAGAGAGCTGAGATACCAGCCGTACAGAGTATAACTGTACAGATGAAGAGATTCAGTGCGTCAGTATAACTTGTGAAAAGAGCATGCAAGATCACACAAAATGGCAAAAATATAAAAACATTCTGTCATATGAAAATTCAAATATCGTTATTATTGACAACAAGTCGTGGCGATTTCAGCAAAAAATAAATCAAACATAAACACAACACACACTTCACTAACCCCAGGCGTGGGCGGTCAGCCAGCAGTGTGTGCAGGTAGCGCTCCAGTGAGTGCTCATTGAGGGCGCAGCGCAGCCAGGCACGACCCCGCCCAAGCTCTGAGGAGATTTGACGTAGGGAGTAGAACCGCTGGAGCTCGTGGCGGTTCAGATGCTCCTTCACATAGAACCAGAAAGTCAACTCTGGGGGGGAATGACAAATAGAGAGGAAGAGGAGGAGAGCGGGAGAACAGACAAGGGAGACAGACAGACAAGGGAGTAAAAAGTGGCAAGACAAAGGAGAGGAAGGGAGGGAAAAATTGTGATGAGATAAAGAAGACATGGGACAAAGAGGGAAAAAAAGGAAAAGGAGAGAATCACTTATATCTTATTTGTGAAAAAGGTTAAGTGAAGCAGTGACAAACACACTTCTTCACTCTCTTATTAACAAATATCCACACCTCCTTCACACAGATCCATCCTGACTTCCTACCTGTCACCTGCACACTTTTATTATTTTCTATAACACAGGCAAAAAAGATTTAAAAAAAAACGTCTGTGGTAATTAATAGGAATGAGTGTTATGCTACTCTTTTGCATTTGATTAGCATATAACCTCAGAACAATGTGTTAAAAATGATGGCTGCTATTTCTGGCTTTGTCAGAGGGCTTGGCTTCATTAGGGAGCTCCAAATCCATAAGTTCAGTCACAATCCTTTCTTCTAATTGACTGTGAAATACAGGAAAACGTCAGATATGCTAATGGTTATGACGTGGTAGCCATTACAGAAGTCATGCATTTCTCCTCCATCTGGAATTAATAGCCACATGGGTCTTAAATATGACACAGTAGAAACAATTTAGTCTAATGTGAAACTAATGTCTCTCAACCAGCGGAATGGTCTTTAGAAGCTCAGATGGCTGCAAATAAAACTGAATCTTGAGGATTGTCATACTTTTCATTTCCTTATGGAGATACCATAGAGCAGTAATTCCCAATCACGGGTACTTTTGCAAATCTGGAGTAGTGCAAATAATTTGATAAAATCTAAATTACAATTGGAGTTTAAAAAAATATGTCCACAAATTGAGTCAAATATAAGACCTGAACAGACATTTGCAGCAGTTCCGACTAAGGCTTTGTTCACACTGCAGGCAAAAGTGGCCCAAATCTGATTGTTCTTTTTTCTTTTTTTCCTCTTATGTGACTCGGATCTGGGTTTTTTTTTTCTTGTAACAGTGTTAACATCACAAATTACATGGAATCTGATCGTGTTAAATCTGATTCGGGACTTTTATATGTGGTCCTAAATCAGACACAGGCCTGATTTTTAAATCAAAATTGTAAGTAGCCTATGAATGTATGAAAAATAGTCAGAAAAAAAGCAGAGAAGCAAGTTAGCTAAAAATAAAGTTAGTGGATGAATGGCTGCAAAGATAGTTATACATTTATTTAAATTAATTAATTAATTAATTAAAATGAATGTATAATTGGTTAACTAAAAGCTGAAAGAAGCAGCAAAAACTAACAGATAAACAGTAAAAATAGTTGGCTGACAGTAAAGAATAAACAGTTAAGACATAACTTAGCACTTGAAATATTTACCTGTAGCTAATGGGCAAATTATTTAAAAAACTAATGCTAATAGATTAACAGTTTAAATAGTTAGCTAAAAGTAATGGATAAACAGTTACTGCACAACCATACAACATACTGTAGATTGTCTATTTGCATTTTCCAACACTTCATTATAGCTACATATTAGTTATATTACATTAAATCAAATATTTAAACCTATTTAAGTTGTTTTTTATGGTTGCACCTTTACATCAGCTGGAAACATCCCCGATATCTTCGCATTTTTGTACCAACTCCTTATTTCATTTCCCCGTAGTTCAGCATGCCGTATGCTGTTTGGGATCTTGACTGGAATTTAAAATAAACCTCTGTGGGTTTGAAAAATACTTGAGCGCATAAGTCGCATTTATAATGACAGTCCATCTCAGCAGCGCTTTTTAGGAGGTGTAAAGCCACAGCTGGTGTGCTGCCCACCACCGACTGAGACAGAGAGACAGAGGCTTAAAGACAGACAGGTGAGCACAGCAGAGAGAGTGAAACAGGGAAGCAGAGACCTTCATGTCCTTTCAAACTGTAGGCCCTATTTGTTGTCTAACCACCTGGTCTCGCAGCCAGGCTGTGTGTGAGTATGTGCATGTGGTTGTCCTGCAGCTCAGAGCTACCCACTTTCAACCCCCAACCCCCCCACGACTTCCGAAATAACAAGCCGAGCTATCCTGTAAGGTCAGCATTTTCAGGTCTCCTCTTCCCGAGGTAAAGGCTGGAGGCTAAAGTTAAGTTGTTGCCCTGATTTTCAACTTTAGACCTGAGTTTAACAGTCAAGTATCGTACCTGCTTCTGTCTTGCTGCTGAAGCCCGCAGCCTGCTTGAGAGCAGCGGCGGTGAGAGCCAGGCCTCGGTTCTTCCTCAGGCCATGTTGCAGCACCGCTTCAAACTGGGCGCACAGACAGATCACCCTGCAGAGACAAAGACTGCTGTTAGGACAGAAAGGGGGATTTAGGAGTATGTAAACCCCTTGAATGTTGTGATGCCACTTGAAATTATGGGTGCACTTCAAAATCAGCTACAAGTACCGTTATGTACAATTTCAGAGAAATAAGGAGGATGTCGGTTTTTATTGCTTTCAAACTTGAAGAGATCCTCTATCCACAAAGCAAAACTGGTAGTTAATGTTCAGAAACTGCAGCTACAAACTCAAAATGAGATCTTAGCAGCACAGGATATGAAATTTTGATCAAATATTTCTCTCTGACAGCATTAAGCTCTGATGAAACAAGGTTGGTACATAATGCTTCGTACATTTTTTCCTTATCGTCATAAAACTGAACTTTCGCATTGCTTGGATATAATAGAAAATATTGCAGAACTCTCACAACAATATTATTTATTTCATTTTAAGATATTTTTTGTCAGGAAGAAATCAACCCTTAAGCTGGGCCTATTGACAGATCGCTGTACAGAATAGGATGAAGGTGAGCTTGAACTACACGTGCAAACCAAACAACCTCTTGGGTGCAAAACAAACACACATATAACTGAAGAATGTCTTACAGGCAGCTTCGCTTACCTGCTGTCTGAGTCTGTGGCAATCTCCTTTCTTCCTCCAAAACGGATTTGGCACTGGAAAGATATGAAGGGAATGATAATAGCTGCCTGTGAAATACTTCAAACCCTTCTGCAGCACACAATGAGCACATTTAAGATTTCAAGGGCCTAAAATCTGCAGCAGGCACAGAGCAGACTGATGAACAGTGCTGATGGTGCTCTTATATGGTATATTTTAATATTATGAGACACCCAGCAGCCTATAATTGGGCCAGTAGCTGGAAAGTTTGGAGTGCTGATTATGACCAGATAAAGTGAACTGGCAATAATGGATTAAAAACAGAAGAACTGGGGTATTGATGTCACAGTCAAAAATAAAAAGTAGGGAACGTGTTTACACAACTCAAAGCCTGAGCATTAGCATCTGAATAAATGCTCCATAATGGTTACTTGCCAAATAATGTGCATTAGTGTTCAGCAGAGACGCGCATCATGGGAAGCTTCTATAAGAATATTGTTCCTTGAAACCAGAAACTAGTCTAGAATAGCCCTGATACTGTACATGCAGTTCCCACTTTCTTTTTCTCCTCTTTGTATGGGAAAGCACATCACATCTAACCACATCTGCCAATGTTACATTTCCTCGCTCCATCGCAAAACAACTAACAAATCTGACAGAATATGGCTCTTAAATAACACTCAAACTCTCCTTAAAAACTCTTTAATTTGCCATAGCTTGACCCAACATATATCCAACATATCCAAAATGTATAAAGAGTGCTCAGTTTTACTTCCTCTGGTGTGTTTTGTTATGCAGAGGATAAAGGAACTAAAAGATATTCAGACACCACAGACCTTGGCCAATGCTAAATAATATTCTTGTTCTGGTGAAAGGCATTAAGCCGAACACTACACACTAACACACAGCGTTAGAATCTGGAACTATTTTACTTCTTTCATTTGAAAACAATGTTAATATATTTACGTCAGACATAGAGATCCAGGTCACTCATCAAATGAATGCACATTTCTTTATATAAAAGCCAATCTTCCCTTTAGAAATGAACGTACAGAGGTCAGGCGTCTCACCTGTTTGACAGCATCCAGCAGCCTCTCCAGGAGGTGCTGCCTCTTGGTATCACTCTGCTGAGTGCCTGCAGAGGAGAACACACACAAATAGAGGAAATGACCCAAATTCAGTTTGATGACTGATTAAGAAAATAACTGTAATACGGACTCAAGTTACCGAAGCATCGTTCCTGCGTTAACCACACCGTGCCCGAGAGGAGAGGAGGGAAATGAGCTGCTGAAGGAAGTCATGGGCCATCGCAGTCAGCATAAAAACTGTTTGTATGTTTTGGTTATTACTACACCATGAAACACACTCGTCTGTAACGGTCTTTTACTGACAACCAAATCTACCTGTGGGTACAAATAAAGTAACCTGAGCCTGAGGCTAGATCCCAGACAATAAACAAACAACTAGAATGAGATAAAACACACATTATAATAACAACGCTAATTCTATTTACAGAGTATGTATGGTGCTTTTTATTACATTGTTTATTGATGTTTACTGTTCCTGTTAAATCAGCCAATATATAAATAAATGTAGTTTCTATAGTATGTAATATTCCTGCAATATTCCTTGAGAAACATTCTATTTTGTGATAATATTTTTTATAGTACCCTTCTATAAGAGTAAATCACACAGTTACAATTAGAGCTGAAATGATTATCAGATGAATTAATTAAACAATGAGTAGGAAATTAATCAGCAACAATTTTGATAATTACGTTTTAGTCTCTTTTTTTAAGCAAAACTCTGGTTCCATTTCCTCCAATGGGAAGATTTGTTGCCTTTTTGTTTTATATTGTTATAAATTTAATATCTTTTATTATGGCTCTATGCGTCAGATAAAACAAGACATCTGAAGGAATCACTTTCTTTCGGCTCTGAGAAACAGTGCTGTTTTATTTGATTATCTGAGATTGTATTGACTCAACAAAGTAAATAACTGATTAATCCAAAAGTAATCAGCAGATTAACTGACAAAGAAAATCCTTAGCGAAATATTGGTAATTACAAGGACACAATCGGATATTTTAATGTTAACTGTTGGAGCATATCTCTCATTCTGTTATTATAAACATTAACCAAGAGTTTTTCCCACTTTTACCACCATCCTGTAAAAGCTGCCAATCCACCGGACCATCTCTGGGGGCCCGAGTGCTCTCCAAATGAACAGCTGCAGAGGGATGAAAGCTGGAGCAGTCACTGTCCTCCACCCACAAGTTTACACCAGATTCAGATCAGCAGCTTGTCATAAACTCCAATACTAAAACCTCAATGCAAATAACACCCTCATAAACTTCTCATGCTAACCACTGCTACTTCAGAACAAACTGTCAGGTGTTTTCCAGGTTGTTCACAGCTTTAACCTTAGTCATGCATTGGACAGATTCCTATAAAGAGCATTCATACATGTTATCTTAAAAGTGCATTTGAATGTGTTGAAAGAAGCTGGGCATCTTTCCTTTTAATTCACCAAGGTTTGAAAGTCCAGAGAGGCCATTTGCTGGATATGAACAGTGTGGAAGTAGGAGCAGTGCAGGTCACAAGTCAGCAGAAATCCCTAACTAACTGTCTGAGCACAGAGGCTACTTACAGATGACTGAATCCCCTCTGGCATGCATGATTAGACATTTTATGCTTGTTATGCCTGAGTGAGAAACAACAGACGAATGAAACAACACAACTCACCGTTCATTCTGACAGCCAAACCCCGTTATCACTGACATCCAAGCTGAACAGTTCCACCACGGATACGATTCATCCCTTTCTGTAGCTTCTGAGAGCAGAGGCTAGCTGTGCGCCGGGCCCATGCTGCCTCTGTGGCCGAGCTGGACCCACCCAACCGCGGCGTGAGGACTGGTGTTTACACGGTGAACAGCGAGGCCTGCCGGGGAGCCGCTGGGGCTGCGAGTCCACCACAGACTGACATGTAAGACCCGTACAAAGCCGAGGAAGCAGATAAACTGCACCCAACACACGCCGGAGTGTAATTTCAGAGCCAGCAAGCCGCCGTATAAAGTCTGCTGGAGCGGAGAAGTGAAGTGTTTTCAGTTTGGAGCCTGTGGCACTGCGAAACAGGGAAACGGACTACTGCCTGAGCAGTGTCAAGGTCACATGACAAAACACACCGCTGTCATATGACCCGACAGCGCTACTGGGAGTTGTAGTCTTTTGTGGAAGTGTTGCGGTACTACAAAAGTATCATTTTCATGTACAGGTGGAGAAAAACCAATGTTTGTGTAATTCCTGGAATGTGTGCAGCATTAACACATCTTAGTACAGAAGAGTATTGAATTCACTTATATAGAGAAACATAAAAATATATTATGACAAGACTATTATCCTAGACATCAGAGAAAAGTTTTTTTTGTGTACAGACCCATCAATATTTATTATAAAGAGTCATGAATTTGATTGCTTTTTTTTTTAAAGTAACACATTCAAACCCAAATTTTCTATTATTTCTGCAAATGTACGGTGCTAACTGTTACTCTGTTATGAACATTTAAAATAGCATTAAATTTGGTAATGACTTAGGACTTGATTCAGGACTCAGGCCAAAGTTAACTTCTGATTTACAAAACTAAAGACCTCTTTCACTTCAGCAGCATCTCAACAATATTTTGAAGATTTTCATTTAGGGGTAAAAAGTGTTTACTGCTTTTCTTGTTCACTGCTCCTTCACTGGAGTTATTTGACCTTCATCATTTCCTACAGCTTACTGGTGTAATGCAGCTCATAGTTTTCACACTCTTCATTGTTAATCTGCCAATCTACAGTGAACAGTTATGAAATAACTAAACCTTATCAGATGGGAATCGCTCAGATGACGAAATACGGGTCTGATGTTGATCAATTTGGCTTCCGCTGCCATACCACTAAACTAAAAGAGAGCTTCTTCCTTCAGGCTGTGAGACTGTTAAATTCTTCCTCAATAATTCATAATAGAAATTAACATATATTATTATTTTTATGATTCATAAATGATTTTTTTCTTTGAAAATGGTTGAGTACCAGTGGTCTAATGGACATCCCACAGCATAAACATTCAGCTATAACTGGATCTGTTCCACTGTTTTCCCTTAACCTCACTGTTGATTAATGTCAATGCAATAAATCTGCTTGTGTTCATTCATCAACTATTATTATCAATATTCAGAGTATTACTCTAAACCTTTGGAGATCATTTTGTTTTTGAAATGGTTTGAAACCTTTATTTAAATCTTGATTATTATTAAAAGAGATGGCAATGTATATTATAAAACCACCATCCCCTTATTAATGCACAAACACACATACTAGCTTCAACTGTAACATATGTAACAATAGAATAAGGACCTGTTAATTACAAATAGTATAAACTCTTTTTAAATCCCCAGATTGAAAGGTTTAAAGAGTTTTGGATCGTTCCTCCTGTCCATACTGGCTGTGAAGAGATCTCTTCATAACATAAAAATTCCCTTCACACCCTGCCCCCACCTTTTGCAAGTGCACATTCCTAAATACATGTGACTTTATTATTGAATGCAGACATTGTGTGCAATATTTATAGTGCATATTATGGACTTTATTGCTTCCTCCATTGCACTAATGCGTTCTAAAGGCTTTAGACAACCATTAGCATCTTATTTGCTGACAGGACTGATTGGCTGATTAAAAGTTATTCCCTGTGTCTAAATGAAATGTTAAAAAGTTCTTCAGTTTTGTTTTGTTTTTGACTTTGGGTCTGGTAAGATGGTCAGGTAGTGTAACAATATATGAGATCCACTGATAAATGCAAACACCACCTTTTGTTTGCACCAAACAGATATGGAGTCATTCTAGGTGCTGCAACTTCAATTCTTCTTTTCTACCCTCAAAATTAACATGAAATAAAGATAATGACCCATTGTCAGCTGATTTTATTCTTAAGTAGTTAACTAGTCAAGTAAAACTGTTACATTTGTTGTGCTTTTTTCATTATTTTTTGAATTGGTGCAAATTATTTTATTTGCAAATACTTTTGGCTAAAGGAACACCTCCATTTCATCAGTGTCAATGAGTAAAGGGAAAGTCTACATTAACGTTACTGCAGAACAACCTCAGAACCAACCAGGACAGTGAATAATACCTGCTCATTAATAATTGTTAATGTAGGAAAAATCATTGTATTTTCCACAAAATATTTGCGAACATAACTTTTTTACTTGCTCCTACTTACTAGTACTATTACTGGCACTGCTGCTAGTAATAGTACTGGCACTGTCTAACCCACCTTAACCCTAACCCTTTAACAATGTTCCATCCAAATATATGTTTCCTGTATTCACAATGAAATGAACCTAAATTGATCTTATGCAGCTGTTAAAGTCTCATTCTTATGAACCTGTGAGAACATTTCAGGAGCAAAGCAGCTGCATCAAAGTGAGTTTTAGCCACACAAGATTGGGAGTGCACGGTTTTCTTTTTCATCCCTGGAACCCTGTGGAGGTTTTGATCACTGGTTGAACTATGGGGCAATGTTTCAATGACTGGGTTCCTGTTTTGTTTCTTTGTGCCTTGTGCTCTACCAGCATGTGTAAGAGGACGCACTCATATGTGCACCAGCATGTGTGTATCGTTGAGGTCCGACAAATGTGCTTTGGTGAAAAAGAGTGTACCTTTAAGATAAATACAACAAATGACCATTAGCACTGATGATCATTGGCAATACCTGGGGTTGATCATGCTTGGACCTTCTTGTAAAGCCTCTTATTCTGTTATACGGCTCAGTATCCAGATGACATTCACCACTAAGAGCAGCTGAGTGCACTGACTGTGACATCAATAAATTAAGATCATACACACACTTTAGACCTGTGAACTCCTGACCTCTTGTGGCTGAAATCAGTCTAACATTGTATCACATTCAAAACAATCTGGGTGCAACATGGGAAATGTATCTATCATTATATTAACATATGTGGGGCAGGAAAACCAGCTGGAATGGAAATATGCCAGTAGACCCTCCTGAAGTCACATTTTGTATTTTAGAATATTTAATTCTTGAATGTAAAGAAGGAAATTAATGATTTGTAGGCTCATTGCTGAAGTGTTTTGTGGAAGATTTTTAAAATAAACTTCTTTTATAACTTTAGTGTTTAGATTAATAGTTTGGAGTAATTAAACTGAGGAGAAAAACCAAACTGTGTGTGTGGATGTGTTGGGTGTGGCAGAGTGGAGATATCTCTGAACTGTTCCCTCTGTCGGTGAACTCGTTCTACTGACTCAGTAACAGAAGGAAAGGGCTTTAGGAGGGTCTAACCCACCCTAACCTTAGCTCTTCCTGATGTCCACAAGTTGAATAATCTAACACTGACCTGCAGTTTCTGACAATTAGTGTCAAGTTCTCATGAGTTCATTTACTGAGATTCAATTAGACATTGTTAATGAAGACATTGGAAGAATGATATAAATGATGATTTTAAAAGGATTTGAAAGAAAAGAAAGATTTTTTTAAGAAAGCATAGAGGACAATGTGTTGGAATACTTAACATTATTAATGTACGTAGGCTAAAATAAATATTTAAATAAACTCATTCACTCAACAGAAATCTAAAAGGGGACGAGAGAGTTGAAAGACATACATATCCTTACATATACTGATGCTTTTTGTAGATGGTTGTCACTATAACTCACTAACAGTTTCAAAAGTAACAGAAGAAAAGGGCTTTAAGAGGGTCTAACCCACCCTAACCCTAACCCTCTGACCCATTGTCCTATTCAAATATATGTTTCCTGTTTAACAGACTAATAGTAGTGTGAATATTCTGGAAATTTGTGCTCATCAATTAATACACTGACACGTAACCAATCAATTAGACATTATTAAGAAGGACATTGGAGGACTGTCATTAACACTAATTAAAAGGATTTGAATGGAACATTGCCCTCTTCAAGCCCTTTCCTTCATCTACAGTCTTTTTTTTTAAGGTTTTAAATTCAGTTTTGTATATAAAGTGTATTAGTAAAAGATGACTTTAAGACTGACCTTACCTATGTATATCATAAAGTTTTTCTTTTTTATAACCTAATCTATCTGCTAAAATTAAATATTGCTTTAAAATTAAAAATAAATTCTTCAGACCATTCTGATACTGTAAAATTTAAGGGTTGCTAATCCTTTTGACCTTTATAGATATAAAGTATATCACCCGACAGTGACACCTTATAACTTTTAAAGAGCTCTGCTCTTAACAGCAGCCTTTGGTCCTCTCCAGACACTGCAAATAATCTCTAAATATATGATATTAGAACAAGTATATAAAGGTGTTGACTTCTGCAAAATACACGATTGTGAAGTGTGCACTATTTTATTCGCCCCAAACGGTGCTACAAAACATAAAACACATTCAGTTGGCTTGTTCAGTTTATTATTTTGCATGGTTATCTCTACCTCTGTCAAACTGTAATGATTTAACATTCACTGAAGTCTTAGTTATTTAGTTAGGTAACCTCAGTTACACTACGGTCATGTATTCAGGCTTTAGAGTTAAGTAAGTTACTCACAGCATCCAATAAAAAGGCTTAAAAGGCTTCTAAATACTTTAAACGGGTCTTAACTCTAGTTTTGTCTTTTGTCGGCAATTTGAATCTTTTACATTGATCTAATCTTGGGTTTTAGTCTCCGTGTATATCGATGTATGGGTTGCAGTTTTATTAAAGGATCACAGACAACTCACAACTTTAATTGCTGCAACAGTTTGGACAGTTGAAATGAAAAAGAACTAAAGTCTCTGAACAATGATTGGCACTTTAAGTCTATAAGATGATAATTTCATACTAGCTGTGCTTTGCTTTGATTTGTCTTGTCTCTGTTCAGATGCCAAGGGATTTACACATTCAAAGCACATACTGTAAATGTGAACTGCTGCTGTTGTGGGTCTTTGAAAGCAATTCATAATGGTAAATCATTGATTAAACCAGAGAAAAACGAAGGAAGAGTCACTAAAGTCTTAATTTCACACATATAGAATTATTTGTGTACTACACTACTACCAGTGTATGTATATTATTCAAATAAATGTCAGCAATGATGCATGAGTAAAGGGCAGGATGCTTTTTAGAGAGTCCAGTATATTTATTACATAAAGGGATTTATTTCTCAACCAGAATGCTTTTCCTGGCAGCAGGAGGAGATGGCTATGAAACAGCCTTTATTTAACATGCAGGGAGATACATTTCACAGAATTAATGATTGAACAGTTAAATTACTAAAAGAAGTGTGGGTTAGGGTTTGACATTTTACAGCTTTTTTGGTAGCTAGTAAAATATTTGTAAGGTAGGTGTCATTTTTTACTACAGAAGAATAGCAACTTTATTGAACAACAGTAATCTGTCGGAGTATTTTCATCAATCACTTAATAAAGTCACCCGTACTAAAAGTGTGTTTCTCTTATGTTTACTTTCGTTGGATACAGATTGGTGTGTGTGACTGTAACTAAAGGGCTGTATGCCTTTGCAGGAGGAGAGAGACTTATCTGTGTCTGTACTTCTCTCATGTTCTCCTTTAAGCAACAATTAGTGACATCGCAAATATTGTGAAAGCCAATCATGGTCTAATATTTAAATACATTCAAAATACACAGGCACATAGTGAGACTTGAGACTTCCTGGGACTTTTAAACAAAGCGAGAGACAGGTGGCATCGACTAGTTGAATTTATTAAACTTAACATGACAGCTCTGGTGATACAATAGACATTATAAAGCTTAAATTCACCTTTATACATAAAATAAATAAGTAAAAACTGCACAACTTAAACTTCTGGCTGCATTTGGTTCATTTTCACTCGTGTCCTTTTACAAAAAAAAATGCAGCTATAAATGGCCACATATCATCCAAGTATGATTCAGCCTCATTTTAACAAATCTCTCATTAAACCTTTTATTTTTCTATTTAGAGCCAGCACATCCCAACTGTGCATCATCTGTGAATCGACCAAACATGACTGTGGTCAAATACTGTGTTATAGTGTGCAAAGTTTACATCTTATCAGCAAGATAAGAATATGTGGATCTTATCTAGACAAGACTTCAATGCTGTCTAATCATTACATGTGCATGTTAGCAAACACAAAATCCTTTTCAACAGAATAAACAGATGAGCAAAGGAAACAAATATAAAAGATCCAAGTTAAGTGTCTCTTGGTGTCATTTACAGTCTGTGATGGGTTCCTTCATATTGACAATGTCTCTCTCACAAGTTCTTTGGATGAGGAGGCGATGGTGTTATCACAGATAGTGGAGAGCGACACATCTGTACCGGTGTTTGAAGGTCTGTTGTTGCCCTCTCTAAAGGATCGGCCATTCTTTCTGAAAGAGTTCCTGATCCTGTTGGAGAGGTGGTCGGACACACGCCTCGCCACCTGCCTGAGCCTGTGGTTCTTCAGCTTGATCAGGCCCACGTCGTCCTCCAGCTCCTCGGGTGGCACATCGATGTTCCCGGAGTACCAGAACACCCACCAGATCAGGCTGAGGAAGATGATGATAGCCCCCGCATAGATGAATAAGTCGTGGATAACCAGCCCTCCAAACACCCCCACCAGCATGATGAAGATGCCAAGTATGTCGTGGGCCACTGCGAACCAGAATGAGCACTTGCAGCGGCCAACTCCTCCATACCTTCTCTCCATGACTGGCTCGACCTGTACAGCTGTTGACATGGTGGCAGTGGAGATCTTCCCAGAGGTTATCCAGATGTGGAAAGAGGAACTGGTGCTTTTAGCTAAAGTAGGACTGTGAAATGTAATCCTCACTGTCTGACAAAAACACATGAAACAACCTGCAGTGACATTGGTCAAAGTACAATGTACACAAGCAGTTATCAGCAACAACCACACCGGCTCTGTGACTGTATTGGATGTTTCAAAGGAAGCAGTTACATCATCACTGACAAAAATAGTGTTTCCACTTTCCATCTTCTGGTCAAGCCCCTTGGCTGTACCGTTTCCGCCTCTGCTTCTCCTTCAGTATGGGGATCCACACCAGCCCCATCACAACAAACATCAGCCCTATGGACAGGCAGGCCGAGGCTACAGAGCGGGACGCTTCAGTCACCCCCAGTGACTGGAGGAGGAAGAGGAGGCCGCCTGCAGCAGACATCAGAGATCCCATCACCATCACAATGATGGGTTTGTGGAGGTAGGCCCAGCCTTGGGCCACTGCAGCAGCACCATGAGGGTCTGGACATAGGATCTGACTCCCAGAGTCATCTGGAAATGAAGTTTCTCCAATTGCTTCCATGGTTGCTTCACAGAACAGAAACGCCTGTTACCGCTTTGTTTCTTCTCCCCTCTGAGAACCTTTAACACATGAATAATGGAAACACCAGCCACTGAACATCCATAGCTCCCCAACTTTCTGCTTTATTTCGTTCTTGAGCCGCTCTGTCTGCTCAGCCAGTCCCTGCTGAAATCAATGCAGCTACCTCCCAACAGTCATATGAAGGAGTTATATCGTCTGTATGATCAATAAGAGAGCGTCTTCATGATGCATCTCTCATTCTCCTGCCCAGTAACCCGTGAATACACTGTAATTCCAGATGGCCCACCACACCCACACAGCAGAGGGAGGGCTTGGATGAATAGACGGACCCATCCCACCTGTTGACAACAATTTCATCACCACCGATTGGCTGGCCACTTAGTGATCATCTTGTTCCTCCAAAACAAATATATACTGTCTATTGAAATGTGGAAAATAAATTTTTCAGTGTCACCGATCAGCTCATGTGTAGAACAAGAGTTCTTCAGTACAATGGACTTAAAGGTGTTGAAAATGCAATACCTCATAGGGGAAGTAATTGTGCCCATGTAGCATTATTGCACGCGAGCAGCAGCTGTACAAGCCCCAGTATAATCTCATAGACAATAGGCATGTCATCTGATACAGCTGGCTGCTATACATGCACAGCTCTGATGGCTAAACTCGCAGTGAGCAAACAGTTCTCAAGGTTAATGCACTTCAGATGTTAAAGCACACAAAAGGTTTATTAAAACATAAAATATTCTGTACAACCCGATGGTGAACTTTAAACCGAGTGTGACAGACGTAAATAGGCAGAACAGTTAAATTAACTGTTTAGTAAACCTAAACTAGAGGATGCAAACATTTTTCACTTACAAAAGCATCATACTGGGCGTTAGTTTAACTTTGTTTGAATCAGTGATGATTAAATAGATCTGTATTATCTCTTCCATTGTGACATAAATTGTTTTTCCCGAATGTCTCTCCGTATCTACCCTAAAATTTAATATAGGATGACCAAAGGAGTGATTGTTAAAAGTTTAAGAAAAGTAGCATTTACATATGTTAAATTGAGAATTTGATTTCCTGCAGAACTACAGTTCCTGTTCAGACAGAAGTAAGCTAAACAGTAAATAAAACACCATTTTTACTATATATAAATATAGCCAAGCAGACATGAGTCTTTATAAGTCTATTTCATTTGACTTTCTCCATTTATCAGACAAGTCATTAACATCAGTGATCAGCTCCAGGTACAAATATGTGCCAAAAGATAGGGAATACTGGAAGGAAACAAAAGCTAAACCAACAGTAGCATCCAAACCCAACAGGGTGCATCTGATTTTCTCCAGGTTGATGTTCTGCATCACATCTTTGATTGTTTTGGGGAGGCTTTACATCCTTAAATTTAAATAGAATTGAACATCTAGCTAATAAAGAGGGAAAGGCAATATTCTTCTGTAAGTGAGGAGGGAGACTAGAATCATTTCAAACTGAGAATATACCAAAATAGCAGTAGTAGGAGAAAGCATCATATTACAGCCAGTATTGGGCATGGGTCTGTTTGTACCTGTCACACACAGAGCTTAGGTTTGAGAATATTCTTGCATGTTTAGCTTAAGAGGAGTGTAGCTGACGTAGCACTTTGAACTGTATTAAGGCAGGTAGAAGAGGAATGAACCCTAGAGAGGGATGTCCCATTCCGACTCTAAAAGGTCCCCTAAATAATCTTTCCCATTATTCTCAAATATGAGACACAAAGGGATTCTACGTATCCTGATCATAGATAGAATTACTGAGACCATACCCTTATTTAGTATATTGACCCTTAACAAAGAATCTAGGCAAGATAATGTGGTGATAGTTGGAAAACGAACAAGCTTTTTGTGTATACAGTCCCTCATTCATATGTGATTCGTAATTTTGTATTTCATTGTTTACAGCTGGCAAAGTGTTATCAATATACAACTTCCTGATGCTACATAAACCCTTATACCAAATTTGAAGCCTTTGTTTAATAAATATTGTTGAAAAAGGTGATTGTTTACTATAGGTAAGTGAAGAGAAAGACATTTTTTAACTGTTTCACAATGGGCACTGATTGGGTTATTATTATTAATTATATTTCCATTAATATTAACTAGTGTTGTGATTTGCAGGGAAAAGCAGGGAGTGAGTGCAGACTGTAGTTGTTTCAGTCTGGAGCCATGCAGAGGGTTGTTCCAATCCTTTTTAAAACGGACATCTGACACAACAGGGGCGTGCCTGCCTGCATGTATGATGGCTCAGTTACACCTGTGCTTTTTAAAGAACCAGTGTGTAGGATTTACTGGCATCTGGCGGTGAAGTCTCACATTCCACTCACCTCACCCTCCTCTTACAAACGTGTAGAAGAAACTACGACCGGCTACGACTACTACAGATTAATATCATATTGCATATGTGCCAACAGGCCAATATTACACGCTGGACCTTTAAAACTGTAATTAATATGTCTGCTGTGCCTGTTACAAAGCATTTAGAAAACACAACAAAGCCAGAGATGATTTCAGATAAAGTTTATAATTTGCTTCATTCAACCAAAAACACAAAAACAATAACAGACTGAATATGTTGACCATTCTGTGAACATTATGGTCCTGTGTACTGTGTAAAATGTCCATGTTGGGGGGGAGTAATCTGCAAAGATGCTCTGCTGAGAATCATTTCACTTTAGGCACTTTTCTTTTTACTTTGGAGTCGGTCTTTCCGGCTTTCTTGGTCAGTTTGCTCGGAGCTTTGTTCCCCTTCTTCGCTGCAGCAGGTTTGGGTGCTTTCTCCAGCTGCTTCTTCTTGGATGGCTTCTACGAGAAAGAAAGACAATGAGAGTCTGCAGTCCACTCAACAGCTCACATATTTCAATTGCTGAAAGTGTTTAAATCTCGCAGCTGTGAGTAGCACTGACCTCCAGTTTAGGCTTTTTGATGGGTGTTGCTATGGGAACCAGCTGTGGGATTTCTTCGTTCTGTTCTTCCTCCTCCGCCTTTATCTTCTTTCCCTCTACAGTGGTATCTGTTTGCTTTGTGTCCTCTGTCTTGTTCTTCTTTGCCTTCTTTTTGGCTGCAGCTCCCTGAAATTCACAAACAGATGAGCTGGTTATTTGACACATCGTTTCAATAAATCCGGCTCAGACACAGTAATTGTTGAGTACGGACTAACTTTCTCTGCCTCCTCCAGCACGCTGAGGTGGCTCAGCTCTGAGGTGTAGATGGGCAGGGCCACTGACGTTTGACTCTTTATATGGATGAGCTTCATCACCGGTCCTTTCTGTAAACAGGTAATGCAAATATAACACATAATCAGGAGTTATTTTGATTTCTGATTCTTATTTTGACCTGATTACACATAAAACATACCTGCAAATATATATTTTATTTCTTTCAACAGATCCTCCTGAATGTTACACACTGGGCCTTTAACCTTTGGTGAATCTGTCACACTTGCACAACCAACTCTAACTAAAACAACCGGACAATTCTCTGGGCAACAACACTCACCGTACGTAGTTTGGCAGCCACCGTTTGGACAGCAGCCTCGATGTTTTCTGTCACCTCGTCTGCAGTCATGGCGGAGTGGCCAACACGTGCCATGCTGTAATACAGACCAGTTATGTGAGGCAAAGGTAACACTATAAACAGCATCAGTACAGGTAATATAAATGCATTTATTTTTGTATTTCACATGAACGTGACATAACATATTGTGTATCAAAGTTGTAGAGACAGGCTCCATAGGAAGAGGAGGTCCATCTGGATTTACATTGAATCTCTATAGCACCAACTACTGCCCGCATCGAACACTGAACAGAATCGACAGGGTTGCTGAGAGGTGCTATTCATATCACAACAAGACATGAAAACATTTGTTTGACCCCTTGTTAAAGGCCATACTAAAGACTGGTTGGTTTCATAGAATAAAACAGTCTCAGGTTATTTAGGAACAGAAAGAGCAGTAGAGTTAATCTCACCAGCAGCAGCCCTTGTTGTTAACCTTCAAGCTGGTGCCTTGGATGACCCTCTGGATGTCCCTGGCCAGATGTTTGCTCTGCAGGTTCACAGACAGCGGCTCTCTAGTAAGGACAGACATGGATGGTAAGAATGCATCAACTGCAGCTACAGAACCACAAAAATCGCAGATGTTTAAAAGTAGATAAATATGCAGATTTGTAGAAAGCAGTTAGGATACATTTTGCATCATTTTCACTTTTTCTACATATGAAGTTTACGTTTTTAATTACATATCAGCCATTAAGAACAAAAGGGTTGCTGTATTCAGTCGTTTATTTTAATCCAATTTCCTTGCATTTTATTCCTAGAATGCCCTACAAACAGCTGCTTTTTCACAGAAAACATGAGCAGTCTTACCGACACATAAATATGACATGTCAATAGGATGAAAGGTTAATCCTAAGTGTTACGGCTCTTTGCCCCCTTATTTAGGCCCTAAGACGCCAGCCATTGTGCCTTGTTAATAACCAATAATTCCAATAATTATTATTATCATCATATAAACATACATTTCCAATACCAACGTGCAAATCAAATTTATAGTGTCTAGCCTATAGGCTATAAGGGTGT